GTGAGCAGGACAAAGCAGTCATTTCTGTGGGGAGCACAGAGGGTCACTGCAGCAGCTCAGAGAACATCTCTGCACTGTCTCTGTCTTGGCCAATCAGAAAAAAAGAAAGCTTTCTTTCTACATGTTCTTTAGAGGCCTGGTGTCAGCAGAAATGAGACATCCTTGTCATGAAAGCAAATTTTACTTTTATTTTTAGTGACCTAAAATTAGCGAAATTACCTCAGCAGATTAATAAAAATGGAGAAAAGCAAACTGAAACTGTTTTACAGTGCTATTCCAATGCCATAACAGGAGAAGAAAGCTCTAGATTACTAGGATCTACTTTGAGTGTTTGTATTCAGTGGTTATTGGTTGGTTATTGATTCAATGGTTATTGATAAAGGAGCTAAACTAAGGGCAGGTGTTGATTCTTTGAAGTGAGACATTGCTTCAGATTGAGTAACAGGGAAGCCCCTAGCAATGGAGTCAGTCCACAAAGTGTTTTGATTCATTCTTTCATTAGACTAAGGGCTGGTTTTACAATTGATACCTGTGGTGCCACATCATGCAGATACTGCATCCTTTATGTATTTGGCAGTATTCCTTTGGCAAATGGTGAACCGCTGAAAAACAGCTTTATTTCCATGTATGGAAGGATCAGCAAAGCATCAGCTAGCCAGGATGAGAGGTGTCAAGCAGGGCCCAAATCAAAACCCAGGTCTGCTGTGTGCAGTCTGTCTCTGTGTGATTACCTCGTCTTGCCCTTTGGGGACTCAGGTGTACGGGTGTGTGTACACGCATCTGAAACCATCCCTATCGAGTGACAACTGTTCAGTTCATGAATCTCATGCTGCTGCTTTCTGTGTGCCTTCTCCAGAACTATAAAGTCTTGCACAAGTATGTAGCTCTGTATGCAACCCACCTCATCCGGGAGGGCAGTTGGGACAAAGCCCTGAGTCTGTATGTCCACCATGGAGCACCTGCCAACCCACAGGTAATGAAGGCAGCATGACATCCCAATGCAAGTTGTCAGAGTATGCTATGATCTGCTACATGAGTCAGGCTTCCAGTCCAGAAGTGGCATTCCCCAGTGTTCAGCATATCCAAGTCACTTCAACCCTGCTGTGGATTCTTCTAAAGGCTCCTCAGCTAGAGGACTCAAGGCAGTCTCGTGGCATATTCTCCACAGGGAGGGAGCAGGGGGGAGTTGAGTATTTGTGTTTGTTTTGAACACCTTAACCATCAAGAGCAGAATAAAAGGAACCACATTTACCTCTCCGAGAGCACTGGCAGCAGGAAGCATTCTTGCCCATTTCCCTGCCTTGCCCTGTAGCACCCATTGCAACCAGCAAACTGCAGCAGTGCTGCTCCAGGAGCCTGTGTGCAGGGGTGCCGTTGCCTCAGCCTGTGCTTGGCAGCAGGAGAGCTGCAGACTTTTGTGGGCTACCCATCTGACCCCCTCAAGATTTCCCTCCTTTTTGTTGCAGAATTTCAACATTTACAAGCGTCTCTTTGTGGAGATGGTGAATGCATCTGGCATGAATTGTGCCGAGGCTTACTCCAGCTGGGCGGACCTCCGTGATGTTCTGTTCCATCTGGTGAGTGTGGGCCATGGCCACCACTGCCTGTTAAGCTCCAGCACCCTGGTGGCTTCTAGCAGGAGAGAATGTAGAACCAGTCTTTAGCCAGGTGACATGGGCAGTATTTGTAGAACACAGGCCGAGGGGAAATGGGGAAATGTCTGCAATGTGGACTGTAGAACAACAGAATATTACGAAGTGGACATGGCTGGGCAAGAGAAGAAGAAGATGACCCTGCACACGAGGCCAAATCCTAGAAGTGAGTCTGGATGCTGGCACTTGCAGAGCTCACTGTGTCACTGCTATATGGGAGGTTACCACAACGTGCCCACTTTTTGTCCTACACCTGTATTCGGCAGTCTGGGTGGGACAAGGACCCGGGGAAAGCACAGAACTACTGAGCCTGGAAAATAAAGAGTCCTCCCCATCTCCCCAGAGATGCTTAGAGCCTTCTGCTCCTTCTTCCCTGTCCCAAAATACCGCAGCCAGAGCCCATGATTGCCTCTTCTCTGTCTCTGTCCCACAAATACCCACCTCTAGCATAAATGAAATCCACAAATCCCCCTTTGTCCATCCAAATTCACTCCTGCTTCCAGTGCTGTCTGTTGTTGCGGTACTGTTGGCGCTTCCCTTCTCCCACAGCCTCCTCCCTTCAGCACTCTCTAGGACCCAGAGCACCCAAGCCTCAGCTGTTTTTCCAGTCCCCAGAGGTGCCTGGATATTTCAGATCCTTTTCTCTCCCAACTTTTCTCTGGACTCAAGTGGAGGAAGAGTGCCTTTGTGCTCTCATGTCTCAATTACTCTCATTTTCTCTTCTTCAGTGTGAAAACTTAGTGAAGTCAAGTGAGGCAAACACTCCAGCACATGAAGAGTTTGAAACAATGCTGCTGATCTCTCACTACTATGCCACTCGCTCCGCTGCTCAGGGCGTGAAGCAACTGGTAAGGTTTTTGAAGGTCCTTTGCCAGGTCACCACCCTGAGTGCAGAACCCTGTGGGGACATGCAGGTTCAGGGCTATCCATAGTTCACTATTCCACTTCATGGATCACTTACCCATCGTGGATGCATGAGAATGGGACTACAGTCATCTGGGAGCCCACCACTAGCAGGTGGAATGAACTGGAGATAGTCTTCTCCGACTCCTTATAGTGGGACCTGCCCCCAACCACTGAGGCTGAGATGTAAACCAGTGGGAAGCTGATTCATATGCTCAGCATGACTTATGAGAGCAGAAACACCAGTAGAAATTTAGGGATCACGCAAAAATCTGGTCTCCCCAGGAGAGGCATTGCTTCCACTTCAGCTGTCCTGGGCCATGACAGGTGCTGGGCTTCACACCTGGCCTTGAGAGTAGACTGGCTTTGCGCAGCACTTTGGGAGCTCGTGGGCCTGTGTGCTGGGCCTCTCAAGGGCTTTGGGATCTCATGAGCCTGAGTGCTTGGCATTACACAGGGCTTTGGCAGATACTGGTCTTGTGTGCTGGGCCTTCTGTGGGGCTTTGGGAGCTCATGGGCCTGGGTACCAGGCCTGACAAGGCACTGTTAGTATTTTTGAGTCTTACATGCACTGGGGATTTGTTCTGGGCCACCATATGTATATATAGCAGAGTCCCTGCTGAAGTCTTGATCCGTATGGGAGTGTGGAATTGTGACAGAGCGCTGTATGAGTGTGGGACTGGAGCTGTGATAGAACAGGCTGTGAAGAAGAAAGGTTGCCACAGCTAGGACCCCAGTAAATGCCACAGGGGAGACTGGGGCTTCCCCATGGCTGCGTGTAGATTTGGGGGGGTCCAGAGACATGTCATGTATTGGAAACCTGTACAGACCCACACAGTTGTGGAATGTTGAGGTGCTGAGTAGTCAATTTTGGACCACGAAGGAGGGGTGGCCTTTCCAGTTCTGGTGTGATGAGAACATATCTGGCAAGCACAATAGTGAAATCTCCCTTGAATTCCTTGCTCCCCACTCAAAAATTCTTATGTGATTGAACAGAAGAAAAAACTTACTGTGAGTGTGGCTGTACTGAACGTGTTGCTTGGAGAGGTTGGAGAGTCTCCATTCCTTGAGATACTCAAACTGTGACCAGACAGGTTCCTGAACAACCTGCTGTAGCTGACTCTGCTTTGAACAGGGCAGAAGGGGTGGACTACGCAATCACCAGAGATCCCTTCCAACCTCAGCTATTCTGTGACTCAAATGGTGGGAGATTTGGTGTGGCTTTTAGTAAAAACAGCAAGGTTTATAAAGCAGAACGTCATCATCAGGTGACAGTCCTCATATGTGTTCACACAGTGAGGGTACTTACAGTCAGGACTGAAGTTTTTAACCTTTGTTTGTTACATGTCAGGAATGTGTGCGTGCAGAGTCCCTGCTGAGAGTCTGGGGCAGTATGATCTCATGAGATCCATTCCAACCTGATTTTTCTGCACTGTTGTGGCTTTACTGTCCCATGGCTGCAGGACACCGTGGCTGCCAAGCTGTCCATTTCCCTGCTGCGCCACACTGAGCTCCTCCCTGCAGACAAGGCTTTCTATGAAGCTGGAATAGCTGCCAAGGTAAGAGCTATCTGCCACCAGAACAGCTAAGGAGGTGGACAACCCTGGGCTCAGAGATTCCCAACTTTATCTTCCCCTATCCCCCCCACTAGCTGCACTGGTACACCAGTACCCAGACACTGGCACTGGAGGCCTTTCCTCAAAGAGCTTGCCAGCCTCTGCATTTTGTCATGGAATAGCAGTAGGTTGAGGGTTGGACTAGATGACCCACAGAGGTCCCTTCCAACCCCTACTATTATGTGATTCTGTGATTCTGTGACAGACCTGAGCTAGCACAGGGAGATGAACTGCAGACCCAGGGGGCAGACCAGAGGCCACATTGTATTGCATGGCTCTGTTAGTGTAGATGCAAGACTCCCAACTGGTCTGCCTTGCTCTGGGTCACTGAAGTGTTACCTCACTCCTGAGGCTACAGGCTTTGATCACCTGCCCAGATGCAATGACACACAGCAAGCACAGCAGCATGTTCTCCCTGTCTGATGCTGGCTGTGCGATAATGCCCGACTTGAGCTTGTGGGACAGCCTGCAGCTAGTGGGCTGGTTGACCCAGTGGTTGCCTGTGAAGCAGTCCTCAGGGATGGTGAGCCAGGAGGTGCACTCTCCATTATCTGTGCTGCAGGCTGGATGTTGTGGTATAGAAACACATGCTTTCTAGCAATTGCTCAGGCAGGAGAGTTGTGGCTGTGAAGATAAGCTGCCTGGTCTCACTTGGGGTTCCTCTCTCTACTAGGCAGTCAGCTGGGAGAACATGGCATTCATCTTCCTGAACCACTTCCTGGACCTCTCAGATGTGCGTATTGTCTGCTGGAGGGAGGGCTATAATACTCAAGATGACAATGGGCTGTAGGGCCAAAACAGACCCTCAGCCTGGCCAGGGTAATCCTGATGCTCAAATGCAGCAGCACGTTTGAGGTGGTGCTGATGGAGAGCCCTGAGCACTGCTCGGTGTGTGTGAATGCACAGCACTGAGTACCCTGACAGCAGCTGTGGAAGGACTTGCCTTGCAGGGCACCTGAGCAGCCCTGCCCGTGTTATTCTGTGTGTGCCAATGCCACCATGCATGTATGTTGCAGCAAACAGCAAGCTGGCCTAACAGTTTAGGCCTGTAGTCTTCATGGCTGCAAGTGCCATTACACCTTTCAGGATGATCTCATCAGAGTTGTTTAAGGGCAGGAAAATTACCCAAGGGGTGGAGGGCATGGCCCAGTGCTTTAGCCACTGTGATACAAGACTCAGGGGGCCCCATGCCAGTCAACTCCTTCCTTGACTAGGAGGTTGGCCACCAGAAAACATCAAACCCTAGGAAGCTGACAGACCCTACTGTACCAGACTTCCAAGTGCTGTCAGCAGTTGCTGGAGGAAAAAAAAAGTTCCCCATTTCATCTTTCCTTTCTTTGAGGCCACCTGACAAGTTTGAGTAGTACAGTGTTTCAGGGGCACACATCCTCTGACACTGCAAAGGATGACCATAAATGCCACCTCCCAGGAGGGCCCAGTCACCACAGCACTAATAAACAGAGCCATCAGTCACACCATCTTCACAATGTAGACTGTACTATCAACTCCAAGGATGGTATTGCCTAGTGTTCCACCATTTCTCCTTTCTCAGGCCATTGAAGAAGGGAACCTGGATTCTCTGGACCACTCTGATTTCCAGAGCACAGACATTCCCTTTGAAGTGCCACTTCCAGCCCAACAGCACGTGCCTGTGAGTGTTATCTGCCTTCCTCAGCTCCCGTGACCAGTGATGCTGTTTTGAGGGCCCTCTCTGAATGCAGACTGGGGCAAGGTGGGACAGCAAGCACTACAGGGGATGAAAATGTACTTGGCGCTGACCCCTGCCCTGTGCCCCTCCCTCCCCAGGGCCTCAAGCACATAGGCAGCCCCAGAACACACGTACACATGCACTGCTTCTCATGTTCTCAGGTTCTCATGTTCCCAGTATACGTGTGCTTGTGCACCCTGGGACATACTCCCCTTCCCCTCCCCCCCAGTCTGCACAGATGCAGAGTTGTGTGCATGTCCTGCATACACGCTCACGCCCTGCTCTCCCCAGCATGCTCCCGAGTGCTGCAGAGCAGCAGCTGGGCAGCAGCACGGCGTACAGGATCAGGAGGTGCCCTGGCCTCTGTCCTGCAGGAGGAGCAGCGGGAGGAGGTCAGGGACTGGGTGCTCACCATGTCCATGGATCAGCGGCTGGAGCAGGTGCTGCCAGAGGATGAGCGTGACACATACGAAGCCTCACTGGTGGCGGCAAATACAGGAGTGCGCTCCCTGCCCTGTGTGCTTACAGGGCAGCGCCAGGCCAGCTCACACATATGCAAGGCAGTATGTGGTGCCATGCAGGGAGTAGGAACGTTGCCTGGGGGTGGGGGGGGGTCTGGGAGGGAGTTCAGGAAATGCTGTAAGAGGAGGAGGGAGACTGTGTGGCTGTGGGACCAGTTCTGCTGGAGGAGACGGAAGGGCCCCCTTTTTTTACTGTGATGGTGACTGAGCACTGGAACAGGTCACACAGAAGTGGCAGCTCCATACTTGGAGATAGTTGACAGCCATCTGAACACGGTCCTGGGCTGTGGCCCTGCTTGAGCAGGGTGGGGTTGGACCATACAGACCTCAGAGGTCCCTTCCAACCTCCACTGTACTGCGTTTCTATGATTCTATGACTGCTCAGTCTTGCACAGCCCTGCCTAGGAGACTGCCCAGGCTGGCCAGCACTGAGACACGTGCACATGCTGTGCTTGGCCCTGCTTTGCCCCCACCTCTACAAAAACTGTCAATTCTGGCAAGTACTGCAAACTTCAGACAGTGGGAGATTGCACTGCAGGACTTAAGAGTGGGTCAGAAAAGGGGGAGGGGGAAGCAGGGGTGCTGCAGGAGCAACAGGGCTTTGGCTCCAAAGGCCAGGAGCAGGGTGCTATCGTTTGACATACTTGAGTGTCCTTGCCATGGGGACAGGCCTTCATTTTCCTTTGATCTCAGCACTGTGGGCACCCCCTTCCTCACTTTGGTCTCCAGAAGCCAGAGGCAGCACTGTCCCCCTGCACTGCCCCACAGGAGCAGCCCTAGCCACCTCGCCATGGCAAAGAGGGAAGGGGTGCACAAGACAGGGGTCTGCTGTGGGCCACAGCTTGTTTCTGAGAGCATTGCTGTGTGACCAGGGTACCCTGTGCTAAGGAACAAGATTGAGTTCAAGCGGCCAGGCCGAGAAGCGAACAAGGACACATGGAACAAGTTCCTGATGGCTGTCAAGGTGAGCCAGGCACCCTGTGGGACAGGGAGACAGGGTGCGTGCTGGTCAGTCCCTCCTGCTGACAATAAAGGATTGTCCTGCTGGGTAGAGATATGCTGAACCAGGGTGGTTTTAGTGCACCCTCCCCGTGTGCTGCTGGGCAGGGATTAACCTTGTTTATGGAGCTGGGGCAGACCCAGCCCATCCTGTGCAGCTCCATCAACCCCCGGGGTGCCCTTGGGAAGGGGGCAATGGCAATGCCCCCTTGCCACTGCCAAAGCCTCTTTCATTCTGCAGACATCCCACAGCCCTGCGTGCCAAGATGTGCTCAAGTTCCTCGGCCAGTGGTGTGGGGGACTCCCAAGCACCAGCTTCTCTTTCCAGTGAGCTAGACTGTGGCAGCTTTCAGTCCTGTTCTTCAGCACCTCCACTTCCACCCCCAATAAACACGTCTCTCAACCCTGCTGTGCTCCTGTTTGTCAAGAGATGCTGAGTCCAGGAACCTGTGTCGCTCCCAAGGCACAGGACTGTAACCCTGTACACACGCATCTCGGCCTCAACTGAGCTATGCTAAACATGTGTCCTCCACCCTGCTGGGTGACTGTCACACTGGGACCATGTAGCTGTCTACATCCCCGTGCCTGGTGGGGGAGCGCAAGCACGGCGATGGGCTTACACACCCTGCTGCACTGTCATTCCATCAGTGGGCCCAGCTCCCAGCAGGCATCCACCCTGGGAGCCACTTACAGCAGCCAGTGTGAAAATGGAAAGTTTATTTACTCAGGAAAATGGACAGAGGCTCACAACAAAGGAGTTCTTCACCTTCCACGCCTTGGCCTGCCTGAGCACAGGCACAGCAAGGTGATCCTACCTGCTCTGCAACAGAACCCACGCCAGCCCTGGCTGCTGCCAGGCCCCAGCACCTCTGTCTGCCCCCACCACTACATGTAAAAGACAAATGGGGCCTTCAGTGTGCAAGGAAGGGCCTTGCAGCTTGGGGAGAGAAGGGGAGAGCATCAGGGGCCCATGGCACCTGCTGGGCCTGGACCGGGGGTGGAGTTGGAGGGGGGGGGGGGGGGGGGGGAAAGAGGCCCACTCCTCCCCCCTGCAGCCCATCCTACCCATGCCTACACCTGGGGCAGGAGCACAGAGCAGATGCAACTTCACCTCGCTGGATCACAGCACTCCTGCAGCACCACCTGGGAGTGAAAGAGCACACATGAGTGCAGGGCTGTGCTGCAGGGCCAGCCGTCTGGCCAGTGTTTGTAGCATGTGCTTGGAAAGAGGTGTTTCAGAGGGGTGGTGTGGGCAGGGGCCCTCCTGACAGCAGAACCTGCCCCCAAGCACAGCCCACGCACCGCACTCACCTCTCCAGCTAGGCACAAGACTCAGCCAGCCCACCCAGGAGCTGCTGCATCTCACGTGGTGGCCCCTCCTTCACTGTACTTGGCCCAGCCAGCTAGAGAGGAGAAAAAAAAAAAAAAAAAGAGGTGGGGTAGAAGGGATGTGTGAAGGGCTGGGCCAGGTTGAGGGGGTGGTGGTCACACAGGACAGCCAGGACAGAACAGGCTTGGCTATCAGAGGGATGAAGAGGAGCAGCTACACAAGATGACAGAGTGCCAGTCTGTCACCAAGGCTGGCTAGAAGAGGTTCAAACCTGACATTCCCCCTCCCCCTGCATCCCCCCTCCCATTTTTGCACAGACTGCTTGTATAGGAACAAGTGCCCAGCAGAACCCAGCACCTTTAAGATGCAGCAAAAAGGCAGCAATGGAGGGGCAGAGTCAGAGACACCCGTCCAGACTGATGGGACGTACCTGCTCCTTGCCGTAGCTGCGTGCACAGGGCCCAACGCCCCGGAAGATCAGGGCCACCAAACAGCACCGGCCAGACAGCACAGCTTCTGCGGCTGCCAGCACCATGGAGGAGAACCAGAGGGCCAGGGCTGTGTCCTGCAGAGGGTCGGAGGCCCCTCAGAAAGCATGGCCCACCACACCCAGCCCACCTGCACGCGGCTGAGCAGGGAGGCTGCTCAGGCAGTGGGGGAAGAGAAGGGGAGGGAGAGAGAAAGAAAGGGAACAGGAGGGAGCGTGAGAGGAATAGGGGCAGAGAGAGGGTGGGGAAAATAGGGAACAAGAAAGCAGAGAGAAAGCAGAGACAAAAAGAGGGGAGGGAGTGGGGGTGTGCGGTGCCCCTGCAGACTCTCATAGATGCGTGTGGTGTTGAACGGACAGTCGTTGGTCGCTATGGCTGCACGGGCATCAGCAGGCAGCACAGAGCTGTTGCAGCCCATGAGAAGGTGCATGCCCCGGCTGTGAACAGTGAGGGCGATGGCCAGTGCCAGGCCCACGCTACATGCTGTGGACAGGAGGCAGTTGAAGAGGGACACGCTCAGTAGGGTCCAGTGCTGTGGACAGCAAGGAGAACCCATGAGTGAGGCTGGCCAGAGCCCGGTGAAATGCCAGGGCCAAGCACTTCCACTGCATGGGGCCAGGCACACTGCGCCCCTCAAGCCCGCTCTGCAGTGTGATGGGGGTGCTGGGAACCCCACGGATGTCTGCACCGAGCGAGCACGTGCTATCTCTTGCCCCTTCCAGCACAGCTCAGCCCTGCACTTGCATGAGGCTTTTGCACCTTTCCCATCCTCCACCCCGTCCTGTGGGCCAAGAGCCACCGGGCAGCCCCCTCCCAGGGCTCCCGCGGCCGGGGAGCCCCAGCACAGGCCCAGCTCCACCGAGAGCCAGGACCCCGCCAGCAGCCCTGCCTCACGCAGGCCC